ATTTTTATCTCAAACCCTAATCAATTCCTCTCACCTCTCTATCTCTCTCTCTCTAAATCTCTCGCTTCTCAGTGTTCTCTCTCTCTGTTTACACCCAATGTTACGTAGATGTCGTCCACCACTGCTGCCGGCGATGCGATGCTCCTCAGTGGTGGTCATGGTAAATCTACAGCGGGGGTGATGGCCGTGTGCGTGCCTCTCTGAGTTAACATTGTTTCTACAGCGGCGATCGATGCGCTCCACTACCCACCGGCAACCACGAGAGTCGTCTGCAGTCACGAAGAGAATGTTGTCGCCGGTGCGATTTGAGCGGTGGTCCTTTTTAATGCCGTGGCTGCAGCGGCGCGTCAGAGAGGTTTGCAGCAACTGTCGATTTATGGCTGCGATGGTTTGGGCGATCTAGTTTTTGGTCGTTGGTGGTGTCGTTAGATGGTTTTTGGGCAGTGATGGTGGTGGGCATGTGTGCCGTTGTTGGTGGTGGTGGTGGTGGTGGAAAATGAGGTGAAATTCTGGAGTGATGAGTTGGGGTAGTTGGTGGTGGTTTGTAAATGGTGGCAGTGTATTTAGTTGGTGGTGGTGACGGTGTCAGTAAGGTTGTGGTGTCGTGGTGCGATGGTGGTGCTGTGGGTGTGGTTGTGGTTGTGGTTGTGGTGCCGAGGATGTGATGGTGGTGTCCCAATATGTGGTCGTGGTTGTGACTGTAATAATTTTTTTTTTTGCAATGGGCTGAAATGTTTGAAGTGGTGGTGGCGGCAGCGGTTTGATGATGAGGTGGTGCTGGCTTGCAGGCAGCTGAGGTCGTGTGTGTTTTTTTTTTAAATGGTGGTGGTGTGGTGCAGACGATGGTCTAATGGTTGTGGTGGTGTGGGCGACAGTCGTTTGAATATATGGTGTGATTCGTGACCACATAATGAACTAACTGTGATCTTAAAAGTCGACAATTTGTGACTTAAAATTAATTTCTGACCAATAAATTTGAAAATATGTGACTGATAGATAACTGTGACCTGTAATTTTTTGATTTGTGACTTATAAAATTATTAATTTGTGATTTCGAAATAATTCATGACCTGTAAAATTTTTGAATTGTAACCTCGAAATAATCCGTGACGTATAAAATTTATGATTTGTGGCCTCGAAATAATTCGTAACCTATAAAATTTTTGATTTGTGACCTCAAAAATAATCTGTGACCATTAATTGTTTAATTGTGATCTCATTGTATTTAATTAATAAATTAATTAAATCATAAATAAATTTTAATAAAAATCTGATTTTTGAAATTTGAAATTTTTTTCTTAGTTTTGAAATAGGTAATACTTAACACTTAACACGTTACTTACGAATTTTTCCCATTATATAATATATAAGCCCAACCCAAATCCCATTCTCCCTTCATTTGAAATCAATCCATAAATTCCCAATTTTTCATTTCCCCCAATCTCTCTTCTCTTGAATTCGCTCGTCTCCACTCTCCGGCGCAGCAGACTCAAGCACTCGCCACTCATCGGCGGCCCGTGACTCCGTGAGATTTGGTGAAAGAAACCGTAAGTTGTTTTGATTGAGTATGCTGTAATTTTTTAAGTGCAAATTGTTCTGAACAGTGATATGCTATGAAATTTAAGTGCAAATTGTGCAATGAAATGCAAAAATTTCATGTTTGTCTGACTTCTTTGCTGATAAATTTGATAATACCTATTAGCATACCGTATACTTGGTATTTGGTAGTTGGTTCTCCTCATAATTTATTCACCATTTAAAATAAGATAGTGTTGAAACATTAAACCTTATTTCCAATACATTTGGCGTCTGCATAAAATCGACCTTCTGCCCAGTGACCCTCAATCTCATTCCTGATTCCTCATTATGAAAAAGGAAAATTAATTTTTTTTCCTTGCTAAAGTGCTGCAATGTGTGGGCATTCTAAGATGGATTAGACAAAAAATGAAAATGTTAATCTAGATTGGATTTGGAGGTGGCAGTGAATGGTGATTGAGACGTTGACTGGTCAACATCCGCCCTGGCTGAACTTTAAGGCCGGGTCCATCCCTGGGTAAGTTAATGCTTTTCCATGTACTCTTCTGACCATCTCGACTTATATACTTAAATCCGCAAGAGTAAGATGATAAAATTTTGAAGGTGCGATTTTTTTAAGCATAACGATTAATTTGTGAATATCTAACTCTTGTCAAAGTAATGGAAGAATTATGTGGAGTGAATATTGTGAGACATTAAAATGTCGACTAATATTAATTCTAAATTAATTAATATTCACGCACATTCATTCAATGTCGACTACCAGTAAAATGTGTATTGCAAAAATGATTATGGCCTTATTTTCAATTAAACAAAAATAAAAAATACAAAAATAAAAAATAAAAAAAAATTGAGAAAATGACGGAAAAATAATTGGCCCGCCTAAATCCCCAAACCCAGCCCGCTAAAAAAAAAATTAAAAAATGAAAATTCAGCTGCAGTTGTTTCTTAGAAAAATCCAAACTTTTCTCTTTTTTCATCCGTGCTTTTTTTTTTCTGGTAAACTTTCTTTGCAATTCCCTTCTTTATTTGTTTACTAATTATTGTTGTATTTAGCTGCTGAGTAGCTGTAGTCATTTTGTCATTTTAATTGTGTGGAGAAATGGGTCTGTTGGATTTTTTTATTTTTTTGTGGGGTTTGTTTCGGTTTGAGTGGATGCTACGATGTGTGCTAATTGAAGTTTAATGGGATTCAAGATATAGTTTTAATTGCAATAAAATAGCAGTATTTGAAATGCCGCAGAGATACCTGCGCAAAAGAAAATAAAATATTAACAAATAGTGTTTGATTAAACACCTGAGTGATGGTCAACAGTGATAGTAGTATAGCTTTTTATTATTATTATTATTATTAAACATACTGTTGTGAAAGGGATTGTAGACATTTGAAAGACGTGTGGATGGAGAGCGAGGAGGATCCAGTGAAGAATGAATGGTGGAAGCGCGAGCTAGAAACATAAGTCACAATGTGAGGTGCACAGAGTGTGGTAGTCAGTCAATTGAAGACTCCCAAGCTGACATTGCCATCCTCCTTCGAAAGGTATATTGGTTAATAGTTCTTATGCACGTTATACTTCCTCTCGTTACTACTAAGAAAATCTTGTTACATGGAGAAATGGTATTTTATTTTTGTATAGAGAGCTCTCATTTGATATGCCTCTTGTAAAAATGCAAGTGTAAAAACTAAAATGCCCACATAAAGACAAACATTACCTGGATTGATTACATTTAGGGTACGTTTGATTGGCAAGGGCGGAAAGGCTTTCCAATTCCATATAAGTTGGAAAATAAAAACTCAAATACCCCATAGGAATACGTTTTTCATGAAATTGACAAAAAACAAGCTTAAAGTGGTTATACATTGGAATTTGAAATCAATTTCCACTTTCGTATCAAACAGTCAAAGTAGAAATTGAATTCATTGGATGTGACATTTTTCTTGGAATTTAAAACAATCAAACAGACCCCGTAGATGTTCGCACTTGTAATGAGGTCTCATATGACTACCTTGTTAATCTTTAGTAAGAGTTAAGCTAGATAGATGAACGAGTAATTTTATTAAGTGCATTAGCTGTCCTTGATTTTGAATTATGGATCTCTGGTTTTTCAGAAAGAATAAATGGAGCTGATTATTGAGGAGGTTCAGTGTATTCTTCTTATCATAGTTGCAATTCTAATTCTTAAGGTTTATTTCTTTTGGTGCTTATTGCACTTTCCTCTGATTGCTACCAACAAAATCTACTTAGTTTAAGTCTGTCATATGTCCTTTTTCTTAAGTATCCTTTTTTTTTCTTTAATATATGCCCGTGTACAACACGGATGTGGGAACTGATCTTTTCTTTGATTTCTGCTCAAGTTAATTAGGGATGAAATTCGGGATGGGAAATCTGATAAAGAGATCTACAAGAAGCTCGGGGAAGAGTATGGTGAGACGGTGCTTTATGAACCAAAATTTGATTTGCAGACAGCTGGTCTATGGTTATCACCGGTTAGTTAAAGAGGCCCGTCTAACTTACTCCTTGGTTGTATTCGTATTCTGGGAGCTAACAACACACAAAATTGAAATCTGGAAATAGCTTTTAGTTGCAGGTGTCGCTGGAGGAATGTGGGCATACAAAAAGCACAGGCAAAAGACTAATGTGCACATTATGGCTTTAAACCTCGTTAGAGGAGTCCCATTAACCCC